GTTTTGCCTCCTTGAAACTCATGGGGGTTAAGGAGTTAGAACAAAATAAAGAGATAGACAGACTCTTTTTCAAAATCCAAATCACTGAAAAGTCAATATGTGCTGTTATGTTGGGCAGGCTTCCATGACCCAGCAGGGAATTAAACACTAATCTCCAGAATCATAGTGCAATGCTTTAACCCAGGGGTCCCCAAACTAAGGCCTGTGGGCCATGTGCACCCCTCCAAGATAATTTACCTGCCCCCACCCCAAACTTTAGACTTAGGGTTGCTATAAGTCTGAGACGTCATAAAGGCACACAACAACAATCCTAATTAAATTGACTACCTCTTGAGCCCAAAGCAGGCCCATGCTTCCTACTGAAACACTGGTATGTCTATGTTGATTAAAATTGTTCTTCATTTTAAATATTGTATTCATCTTTCATGTTTTTTGCACTACAAATAATAATTTGTTCCTATACATACTGCACACAGTTTGGACTCCCAACAATCTTAGGGACTGTGAACCGTCCTGCTGCTTAAAAAGTTTAGAGACTCTACCCCACTACACCAGGATAGCTCTCCCTGTAAACATAGTGATACTGGGTTGTTGTAGGTTTTTTGGGGCTATATGTCCATGTTCTAGAGGCATTCTCTACTGACGTTTTACCTGCATCTATGGCAAGCATCCTCAGAGGTAGTGAGGATGCTTCCCATAGATGCAGGTGAAGCATCAGGAGAGAATGCCTCTAGAACATGGCCATATAGCCCAAAAAAACCTACAATAACCCAGTGATTCCGACCATGAAAGCCTTCGACAACAGTAATACTACTTAGACAGACTTAGAACCATGCTATGATTTGTGAGTCAAACATTTTGAGAAACTTTTTCATGCACACTTATCACTGCAACTAATTAAGAAGGTTGTATATTGAGAGGCCTCGAAATACACACAATGCCATGATGTCTAACAGAGAAAGATAAAGGGAGATAATTTCTTGGTCCAAACTAGCTCCCATTCCATTATTTCTTTGATAGTGCACAGGGACTTCAGCCAAGATCAAGTTCCCTGCTATTAGGCATTCTGTCAATACATGATAACACTCCTTTGCATGATTATTTTTAAGAGGAACAAAGATAAGTTTATATTGAATTTTCTTTTTATCTTGATCAGCTTTCAGGTTTCTTTTTCCCAGCTGGCTCAACATGACCAAGAAGCAAAAAAAAAGGGAGGGAGCAATAAACAAATAAGACATCTCAGAAATCAATAAAATATTCATTGACTGATGAAGTCTCACTCAGGGTCCTTCCACACAGCCATATAACCCAAAATATCAAGGAAAATAATCCACAATGTCTCCTTTGAACTGGGTTATCTGAGTCCACACTGCCATATAATCCAATGCAATGTGGATTTTATACAGCTATGTGGAAGGGGCCAAAGAAACCTCTGCTAACTTTTTTCTTTTCCTCCATTGTATTCTGGTTGTACTTTTTACAAAACACAAGGTAGAGTTTTGTTTTGTTTGCTATTTGGTGCGAATGTATCAAGGAAATTGATCATGCATTAATGGAAAATTCCTCTGAACTGGTTGCCAAAAGTAGCCCAGTTTAAATCTAGGGTCAGTTCAAATGCATGGGCAACACAAGAAAAGATTGTTTGTACTAAGCAAGGTGTGTGTGCATACAGAAAAAAGACACCCCCAGGTTCATGCTCCAAAATGCATTTTGAAAAATGATAGCAGGACTTGGAAGATCAGTTATGAAAGAACCAGGTAAGTGTAAAGATATATTGTTCAGGATCATCTATACCATGATTTTTGTGGTTTTCTGGAGGAAATGAACAATAAAGAAAGTTGAGAAAAAGGAAAGTTATACAGCTATGAGTGCCAGATTGCAAAAAGCTGGTGAGGAAATCAAGCTTAAACTTTTTCTCCCTAGAACCCAAAGTAACTAAGCAGAAGATACCATACTTTGAACATATCAGAAGACAAAACTTATTAGAAATGACAGCTTCTGGAAAAACTGAATGGTAAAAGGAAACTGCATTAGCTACATATTTGTGTGCACATATCTTGAAGTTGCCTGTCAACTATAGTGACCCTGTGAATTTCATAGGGTTTTCTTAAACAAGGAATATTCAGAGGTGTTTTCCTTGTACCAGGAATACTGCACCTGATTTTCCTTGGTAATTTCCCATCTAAGCACTAAGCAGGGCTGACCCTGTTTAGCTTCCTGGACCAGATGAAATCTGATGGCTTTACAATATTCTACAATTACAATTATCTAGATAAAACTCAAGATAAATAGTACTCAGAATTACCCAGGTTATTGGGACCTTGGAAGCAAGAAAAAGAAAAGATGAACACTTATCCCCATCCCTGGCAGTAGAAAAACAAAAAATTGTTACATGATTTACAAGATCTACTGCCTGAGATTGCCATACCACCTTACTCTGCGCAATAATGGGACTAGTCCTGAATTTTATTGACAATTGCAGGTGATACGGAAATATCAAAACACAATTGTTTGCTGAAATGATGAAAAACCCTTGTTTTCATGAAAGAAGGATCCTGTAGCTTTCCGTTTGTAGTCTAGTCATGTTTTTGCTTATGAATTTTTCCTTCAAGAGTCTTTCACTTTCAAATGAGCTCCTCAGGTCATTATATTCATGCAAGCATGCAATCTCTAATGATGTTTTTGACAGAGTTTGTTGTATTTCCACATTTTAAAACTACTGCTCCTTTGTTTAGAGGTGCTTTAAATTTCCTGTCACATACTTGTGAGCCACTTTATGATTTATCATAACAAGCTGTACACAGTGAAATACACATATATTGATTAAGCACACTTCAAAACAATTAAGGCGCCTTTGTGCAAGGTAACAGACTGGATGCTGTCATGGCCATGGGTTTGTCTTTACTAAAACAGCTTAAGATGTTTAATATTTAATCACAGCATCAAGAATACATCATGGTAAATAAATGGGATGGAACAGCTATGAGCATTTGCTCACAACTATTTGGATGCCTGCCCAGTTATTATACCTTGTTACAAACAGCCCATAAAATGAAACTAAGCAATGTCCGTTCTAGTCCATCCTTGTGTTAAAGGCAATGAGAAAACAATGCAACTATCAAAAAATGTATTTTAAGGGACAGTGACGAAGCTACAGCCAGCAGTATTTAGCTCCATTGTGAGCAAAGGCTTGTCTACACTTGTCATTTTTTAAAAAAAGAATTCACCTTTAATCCATTGCTGACAATCTTCAGAATACATGTTGACTTCCAGTAAGTATCCTGAGTTTTTTGTCCTTACTCTGACTTTGCTGCAACAATACTCTGAAGCTTGCAGGAGACTCCGGTCTGAACAGTTGGATCAGGTCTATTTCAGTCCAATGTCCATATGCACACTGCTGCCAATACCCTTTCCTGTGCTAATCAATTTAGGGGAGATGAATGGTTGCCATTCATTTTCTGATTACAATTCAAGGTGCAGGTTCTTACCTACAAAGCCCTCAACAGTTTGGGACCCGCCTACCTGCATGACCGCATTTCTGTTTATGAACCCCCACAATCTCTTTGATCATCTGGAGAGGCCCTGCTCTCGCTCCCACCCCCTTCGCAGGTGTGATTGGTGGGGACGAGGGAGAGGGTCTTCTCTATGGTGGCCCCCCGACTCTGGAACTCACTTCCCAAGGATATCAGATAAGCCCCCACATTGGCAGTCTTTAGGAGGAGCCTGAAAACGTGGCTGTTCCAGTGTGCCTTCCCTGAATAAAGGAAATAATTCCCTGCAAAATATCCTGAGAAGCACTTTAATTACCCGTTGGGTTGCTCTCTACTTTTAGTTTAAAACCCTCCTAGATACTGTTCATGTCAAGTGTTTATTTTTAAAGTTTTAACTATCACATCTGGCCCGGCCATAGGTTTTTAAATCCTTGTGTGTTATTGTCCATGTATGAGTTATATTAATTGTATTGTTTATTTTGCTTATTGCTTGTTTTTATTGAAATGTTGTTGGGCTTGGCCTCATGTAAGCTGCTCCGAGTCCCTTGGGGAGATGGTGGCGGAGTATAAATAAAGTTTTATTATTATTTTATTATGGGTCATGTGTATGTTGCCACTTCTTCTTGGCCATAGACCCCTCTGCAGGCAGCCAGCTGTTATGGTTGCATCTGCTGAGGCCAGAATGTGGTACCATGTAATAATTAAGAAGAAAGAGGTCACTCCACCCAATCCTTGCTAATTACAGGGAGCTCTGTGACCAATAAAGAGTGGCAGCCCAGTAGGGCTGATGCATTCAACCTGGCTGGACCATTTGGACAGCACCACAAAGGGTTTGGCCCTGTGAATCTGCCTGCCATCAGAATCAATCTGGAGCCAGTCCACAGCATAATGACCCTAAATCAGGTCTGCACAACCTGTGGTCCTCCAAGTGTTTTGACCCCCAATTCCCAGAATTCCCAGCCATTGGACAAGTTGGCTAGTGCTTCTGGAATCTGAAGACCAAAACAGCTGGAGGGCTGCAGTTTACACAGGTCTGCCTTAAATTAAGTGATTGGTGTAAAGGCAATCATATTTACACTACAAATATGCGGTTCAGAATTACTTACTTTATTTAACAACTATTCCACCAAAGGGTTGTTGTTGTTGTAGGTTTTTTTGGGGGCTATATGGCCATGGTCTAGAGGCATTGCTTCCTGACGTTTCGCCTGCATCTATGGCAAGCATCCTCAGAGGTAGTGAGGTCTATTCGAACTAGGAAAAAGGGTTTATATATCTGTGGAATGACCAGGGCGGGACAATACATATTCCACCAAAGTTCTGATTTCCTTTTTAGTGTTGTGACACCTTCTATATTTCTGTTTCCCACAAAAAAAAATCATTCCAATTATTTTATTCCATAATACTTTTTTTATTTTTAGCAAAGTTTGCAGAATTCAATGCAATACAAAACAAATGTGTCTTTGAAAAAAAGTTGACCACTGCAACATTTTTCATACAATATATAATAGATTTTCTTTGGGAGAGCTATATACAGAGACTATACCACTAGACTGTATAAATGCATACATAGCCTTGATAACTTCATCCAAATATACAAACTAACTGTTACACACATTTATATACATGTATTTTACAGAAAATAAATAGAAACAGTTCAAGCCAAGTTATGTTTTCACACATATAAAACATTTCACCATTTTGTGATCAAGTGCTTTCGGTGCTTAGTTTTGATTGTGTATTGACACATGCAATCCATAAGACAACTTCTCTCAAAGCTTCAAACTTTACTCTTTTGGCAGCTGAAAAATAGAAGTATGGACCTGATCAAGAATCATCTATGACTCTTGTTTTAAAAAATTCAAAACTGTCTAAAGTCTGAGGGACTAGGAAACTATTTTTGATAGAATGATTTATTATCAGTTCTTTCTTTCAAGGAATTCTCAAATATTTTGTTTCCTTGTGTTGCATCCATTTCTCAATGATAAGCATTAGTTGTTATAATAAATACTGAACAGCAGGAAAACAGGTAACAGAGGAAAAAACTTCAACTACTGTCTTCCTTCAAACATGCTTTTCATTGCTTGTATTAAACATGCGGCTTACTAAACCATCTAAGGCAGGCATGGGCAAACTTCAGCCTTCAAGGTGTTTTGGACTTCAAGTCCTACAATTCCTAACAGCCTCAGGCCCTTTCCTAAGTGGTTGAGGGGGAAAAGGAAGGAGCCTGAGGCTGTTAGGAATTGTAGGACTTGAAGTCCAAAACATATGGAGGGCCGAAGTTTGCCCATGCCTAATCTATGGTGTATAGTGCTGCAATTCTGTTTACAATCAATAAGTTAATAATTTTCAGTTTGCTAAACATTTTTTTCTACTGCCTCCTTGTTTGAAAGCTCTTCCACGTCTTCATGACTTTGATTCAAAGTGTATTATGTTTGCTCATCGTCAGCATGTAGAATACTGCATTGTATATCAAACAAATACTGTTTTCAGGTTCTGTGCTCTTTATCATTTAGGAACAGACTCTGTTCTCAAAATAGTGAGATAGTGTCTTTGTAACAGTTAATGAAAATTGATTATGAAAACCATGTTCCAATAATCTTCAGCAGTCAGCTGCCCTTTTACAGTGGTTGATCTGGTACAGAACTAGAGGCCAAATCAGAAATGCACTGGATTCATATTTAAAAGAGCTAGAAAACTGGGGAATGCTAGTTTCTCTTGTGGAAAATATAATTTTCATATAAAGACTGTATGAAGAAGTCCATGTAGCTACTAATGACACAGAAGAGCTCCCATTCATTCAGTCCCATCTAAGTGACAGGAACAAACATAATGGGAATATATCTAATCTCCATTTAAGAGAAATGGTTAATGTTCGGCCAGCAAATAACACAAAAACGCATGAATTCACTGAATGCACACTGCCCAGCAAGGTATCCAGTTGCAGATAAAAAGAACAAACTTAGAATCTTAAAAACACTCAAATATGTCGCTTTTAAATAAATAGTATTTTCTTACACATGACACCTTATAAAAATTGAAAAACTTTTGTTACAAGTAACACAAGAATTATTGTAGCTTTTCCCCAAAAAATGCATTGGGTCACCATATGGAAAAGGTTTCTCATTCAGACTTTAAAAACGAAAGCTTGGATAATGTATTCTTTTCCTGTGTGTTGCAATGATATAAAAAATACCCTGAACCAGATTCATGTATGGAAGTAGGCATCTGTGACCTTCCTCGTGAATCAGTGGATGGATATACTGCTGATGGTGCATCCTCAACTTAACACCAGTACAACAAATGCTGCATACTGGATTTACATAAAAATCTGTTAAAAGTAAGAGACAGCATTGGCAGTATTAGAGAAGGCGAATAAGTATTTCCAAGCACTCAGTCCTAATCATCCAACACGTTGGGGATTCCTTTCCTGGGACTGAGTATCTTCATTCACTTTTTATTTGTCGAATAACTCAAGCACCAGTGTCCCATTAACTTGCCAGGCCTCTGCACAAAGAAAAGAAACAAGAACACCACATGTTTAGAGATTAGGATGTTATCTATAATTCCTATAAGGCACTGCACTGAAAAGTTAAATGATCTAAATAGCCTGAGAACATATCTACAATCAGATATTTAAACTAGTTCAAAAAATCAATGTAATGTCATCTCCACAGAGAACTCCGAAACTTGTACTTCTGAGGTTAAACAAGGACCTAAATAAATTTGAATAGTCTCACCAAACTATATTTCTCAGGGTCCTTTGGGATATTAAGCAGTTAATTATGATAAATGTGTTGTGTATAGTGTAGTTCTATCTCAGGGGTCTGCTTCCTAGGATATAATTCAATGGCATTAAATATTATTGCATTCTGCTGGCAAAAATTCTCCTGGAAAGAAAACTTCGCAGTGAATGAGGCATTTAAAAAATAGCACTAAAGCATTCCAGGAATAATAGAGTTAATTCTCAACTGTCTAGAAATGGAACCTATTATTATCTCCATAATGATGATGACATTTACACTGAAATTTTACATTCCATGGGCACCATTTTAATAACCGCATTAACAATTCGTAATTGGTGCAGAACTGCGTCCATTTCCTAAATGCTGATCTTTCACTTAACATGAACTGAAGATGCAGAATGTTTACAGGGAGAATCATTAGAAAATGGAGAGATGCTTAATATTGGGAGAACTACACATACGCTGCTGCAAATCTGTTCCAGATTGTTTTCCTCCTGAGCTGAACTGGATTTGGGAAAGGAAAAATAAACTATAAACAAGGCACTTGCAGGAGAAAAGTGGCACCTACAAGGAGATCTGCTCAGTCATTATCCTCTCCACACATTCTCTCCTGCAAATGCTTTCTTGCACTACTGTTATTAGGGAAACACTAGGTTCGGAAACTAGTATTTTCTTCCCAGAAACAGGTTAGCCTAAAACTTTTTCGTCAATGTCTTATAGAAACAACTAATATTGAGTCACAACATAAGGAAATCCTACCAATTCAACGGGTCTACTCTAATTGAAAGGAACAGATTCAGGATAATAAGTGTGTAATTAAATCTCACGATATTTTGTGGTTGGGTTTTGTTGGAATTAGTGCTTCTTCAAATTAAGAATATGCGTAGTGCTTATATTTTTTTACTCTTGAATTTGAGGTGGTGAGGAGACTGTATTAAACCTGGTGTAACTGTGATACAACTGAAAGCCCAGCCAGGACAATATGCTTCCTGAAGTGGAGCAACAACACTCAATCTAGTCTGAGAGTACAGTGCTCAAAGCCAGGCTAGTTATTAAGGCCGACGAGAATAAAAATTAGACAAGCATTTATTTCTGTGCTATGGAGTAGAACTATAGAAAAACAAATTAAACAATGTGATTCTCAAAATCTGTTGTCCGAGGCTCCAAATAACTCATCTGCCCAATGGTAGGGCTGGGATACTACTAAAGGTAAAAGTTTCCCCTTGACATTAAGTCAAGACATGTCCAACTCTTGGGGGTGGTGCTCATCTCCATTTCTAAGCCAAGGAGTGGCATTGTCCATAGATGCCTCCAAGGTCATGTGGCCAGCATGATTGCAAGGAGCACCGTTACCTTCCGAAGTGGTACCTACTGATCTACTCACATTTGCACGTATCAAACTGCTAGATTGGCATTAGCTGGTGCTAACAATCATCCACAAATTTGAACTGCCAATCTTCTGATCAGCAAGTTCTGCAGCTTAGAGGTTTAACCCGCTGCACCACTGTGGCCCTCTAGGATACTATTACTAGTTCCTAAAGCCTAAAGTCAAAAGATGTACCACAAAACAATAGCTTCAGTTCAGATAGTTCTCCAAACCTCACCTTCACAGGTATAAATGAATTTGCTATTTGTGCCTCTGCATGTCTTAGGTGAATGGAAAACATTTTCTTAGCAGTACATTATGTGAAGTTAATATCCACCCAATGAGGCAAAGATAGGGAAGTTGTACACCTCATAGGTCCTTAAACGGCTCATGGCTCATCAAATGGTTTCTTAATTTATTGGACAGTAGGGGGACAATAGTTCCTGACACTTTTTTCCTCCAGTATGCAGGAAATATTTCTGTCTATGGTTATAGTTCTCATTTTTCTTCAAAAATTGTCAGTTGACTAGTAGTTGATGGCTTGCAGACTGGCACTGATACACAGACCACCACTTTGAGTAGCACTATTCTAAAGACACTTAAATCCCATCCAAACCATAAAACTCAACTCTCATTTTCAGAACAGTTCTTTGTGTTCAGGTATTTGTTGGGCAGAAGAGTAGTAAGAATACCTGAACATAAAGAACTAGCATGTCGGAGGAAAGAGTTATACACTGAGATATGGATCAGCATGATTTATATTTTATTATTTTTCTCATCAAACCCTATTTGGAAAGAGGAAGCAGAAATTACGTTCTCAGTCATATTCTGTATAGCAGCTGCAAGGCTCTTACCATGAATCTCCATGATTATATTTTTCCATGGCATCTCACGAATTCTACAGAATCACCCCCTTTTTTGAGATAAGAAATTCCACTCGGAGAACAGAAGACCAACCTGCACAAAACATATTGAAATTACTGAAGAGCTGTGCTTGGAAAAACCACCAACACATCACCCTGAATGCAATGCCCATTTGACATGTTCCCAAAATATTATTATTTTACAAATAATTTTCTTAGAACTATGTAAATGATCAATTATACCAAGGGTTAAAACCAGCTTATTTACAAGCCAGGAATTTTTTTTAATGAAACATGCTCTATTGTTATTGTTTTGTTCTTTCAAGTGGTTTCTGACCTATGGCAACTTTAAGGCAACCCTATCACAGGGTTTTCTTGGCAAGATGTATTTAGAAGGGGTTTGCCATTACTTTCCTCTGAAGCTGAGAGAATGTGACTTGCCCATTGGATTTCCATAGCCAAATGAGATTCAAAGACTGGTCACCCTGAATCCTAGGCCCCTTCCACACCTGAATAAAATCCTACACAATATGCTTTGAAGTGGTATATATGGCAGTGTGGACTCAGATAACCCAGTTCAAAGCAGATACTGTGGGATTTTCCACCTTGATATTCTGGGTTATATGGCTGTGTGGAAGGGCCCACAGTCCAATCCTCAAACCACTACACCACAGTGGCTCTCCAAATGTGATTAATGGGAGTGTAATATTAACTTAAGAGAGCAGGCTCCCAATGATGAGAGAATCAATATTAATCAATTTCTAAAATTAAGAAATGTAGAAGATAGGTTAGAAAAGCACACAGCTGAAATACACTAGGCCAAATTCAAATATTTATTAATTTACATCCTGTTTTCCCCTTTGCTCAGGACCCAAAATAATTTCTACCATTTCATGTAAAAGAAGCACAAATCAAACATTGAGTTCCAAGAATTAAAAAATATAGATTGAGTCACTGCCATCTCATCTCTGCTTGGAGAGTGAGTGAAGACTCGTAATAGATCTGCTGTTTTATGTGCCTTAAATCAAGTCCAACAAGTGGTAAACTTAGCATAGGGGCTTTCTGGTAATATTTATCCAGAATAGGGGGTTTCTGGTAATATTTATCCAACATGGGGGTTATCCAGGCGGGAGAGCATGACTTTCCCAAAGTCACTCAGTAAGTGCGGATTCAAATTCTAGTCTCCCAAAGTCCCAGTCCAACACCCAAGCCACTATATCATGCCATAAAATAAACAATAGAAATTATTATATGCGATGGCATGTTATTCTGTTTTCTGCAACAAATCCAATCTGCCTTACTTTTTCTGGGTTTCTCCGGCCTTGACTCTGAGCCTCTGGATGCCAAACTCAGGGGTATTCCACCAATCCGTCAAGCTGAAAATAGAGTCTTTTTCCCACTGCAGTTTAACTATGAGCAGCTCTCCAATATCAACCTCTGTGTATATGAGGAAGGAATGGGTTTTGTTTGTAGAGATCTCAGGCCTGTTGAAAATAAGTATGTTCCGGACTGTTTATTTCACATCTTTTAGAAGTTCAGCTCCCCATTTATAACTTTTATATCCTGATTTTCTCACCTCCTTAGAGGGACTCAAACTGACTCAATGCTACTAATACAAGTTAAAACATCATACAACAATACAAGATTAAAATACATATAAATAAAATACATATATAAAATACATATAAATAAAATACATATATACCAAATCAACAAGGTAAAATTTAGCAGTAGCATTTCTTTACTGGAGAATATGGAAGAAACTAATTTGTTATTTGGGAGTGCTCATCCATCCAGACATGTTCAAAAAGTGTGCTAATATATCACCACCTCTATCCACGGTATTAATCTCTGTTAGCAACAATCCGGTAGATTCTGGGTGTAGAAAAAAACAGAACACATATGCCCTACGTTTTCTTAAAGTTACTTGATTGTGTCTGCCATGCAAGAACTAAAGCCCAAATTTGTTTTTGTAACAACAGTGATGGAGCCCCCAGTGGCGCAGTGGGTTAAACCCCTGTGCCGGCAGGACTGAAGACCGACAGGTCGCAGGTTCGAATCCGGGGAGAGGTGGATGAGCTCCCTCTATCAGCTCTAGCTCCTCATGCGGGGACATGAGAGAAGCCTCCCACAAGGATGATAAAACATCAAATCATCCGGGCGTCCCCTGGGCAACGTCCTTGCAGACGGCCAATTCTCTCACACCAGAAGCGACTTGCAGTTTTTCAGGTCGCTCCTGACACGACCAAAAAACCCCCCTAACTTTTGTTTCAGATGGATTTTGGTGCAACCTACGTGTTTCATTATCATGATCTTTGTGTTTCTAGATATTAGAAGAACTTGGGCATATAAGTGCAAAGACAGCCAAGAGTTACGAGGCGCAGGAGCATTTAAACAATGAGTAACTTTTAAAGATGGACTCTTCATCATTCCTTAAAATGAAAAAGGAGGGGAGATTGGTGTCCATAAGAAGCAACACATGGCAAGACCTCAACTCATAGTTTATCATCATTGTATATTTCTACATATGCACATGAGAAAGGCAACTTTAAACTTCCACTATACATGATAAATTTGGTACAATTAATAAAGAAAGAAAAGGGAATCCAACTTTATTCTCTTCCCAGAGATGTGAAAAACCTACATATTCTTTTTTTATCAATTATAATTGAGAACTACCTCCACAGAAGGGCCAGTCTCAGTGCTGTGACATGTCTATGCTCAGCTTAGGTAGATGATCGCAAAGAAAGCCTTTGCATAGCTGTGTGTATACAAATCATACAGAAGGTGCCCAAATAGAAAAAAAAGAAATGAATAATATCCTCCTTTCTATTTTTCTGCCTCCAAGTAAGTATGCCAAAGGAAGACACAGGGATGATGTATTTTCCCCTTTTGCATACTTCCTAGATGTGGGCTGGGAGTGGGATAATGAAATACAGCTATCATTGCTCTTGTTTTGGCATTTCTGTAAAACTATTCTAAACTTCTCAAAATATATGTATCCCGCAACACCTGAAATGGAGCATATATGCTGCTTTTGCCAGTGAAATGCACAGAATTTAATGGCTTTTTAAATATAGTACATCAAGAAACAGGAATATTCTTATACATGTGGATTTCATTCTCTACTACTCCATAGACAATTTCAGGTTATCATTAGAAACCGCAAACTGAAGGAAAGTTTGGAAGTCATAATGTAATTTAAAATTCTGAAAATGCATTGTTCTATAAGCTAATACAAGTACGCATGTCTTTGTTGATACTCACAGTATAAAATCAATGTTCTCACTTTCCTTCTTAGTGCCGTACAGAGAGATAAGGAGTGGCTGGGTTGTCTTAGTGGTGTTCACCTTTCCAAAAAAATGGATCTTGACTTGGTAATGAAAAACTAAGCAGCAAAAAAGAACAATAAAACAAGAAATTGAGAGATTAAGGTTCTGATTATTAAAACAGCACAGCTTTGTATCAACAACAACAAAAACAAAAACATTTATCACAATCCGTAGACCCATCAGTGAACAAACATTCATTAATAATTCTCCCATCTCATTGTCAAATGTTTAATATCCATGATTTCAAGTAATACCCCTATCCAAGGTTAGTTTCTTTCTCAGCCTTGTTGCCACTATGAGGAATTTTGCCACTATGAGGGTCACTCTGTGGCACCTGTCCTCTAAAAGATATTTAACAATCCCCTATGGGGGGATGGTTGGTTATGCGGGACAAAATTGGATATAAAAGTTGGCTACGTTACACTGTGTAATAGCAGCACTTCAATATAATGTGTTTTATTGTTTCTACTTTATTTCTTTCACAGGGGCATAGTCTTTAGAAGTAAGAAATGGCAAATAATTTGCCTCTTAACAGCTCTGAGGGAAATATGTTTAATCTCGCCTTTGTAAAGAGTCTGCACTATTTTATCACTGTAAGGCCTTTTAGGTATTTGCATGTCTTAAATGGCTCTGTGTTTAAGGCTCTGGGGATAATGGTGAATTTAAGCAGGCTCTAAGCTCTCCCAGGGCAATGTCCCTCAGCTTTTGCTTCAGGGAATCTTGTGCCATTTTGAATCCCAAATGGAGCAGAAGGGGTGCAGATAGTCCAACTGAGATCACTTTCCATTCAATCTTCCTTGCTCAAAGGAGTTTGGAGTCTTCATAGTTTTGTATCATAGATGTAATAGAGTCCCTCCACGGAGGTTGAGAAGAATGGTATATAAAAGTTTTAAATAATAACAATAATTAATAATCAAGTAATAGTTTTCTAAGATCTACAGAGACACTCGCTGGAACACCTCAGCAAGCGAGAGTCCAAAAGTGGCAGGCTCAAACCCAGAACCTCAATCAATGGCTGATACCGAATAAGAGACTCTCCCCTGAGCACACAGAAAACTGGGCAACTTGGAAGGCACTGAACAGACTGCACTTTGGCACCACGAGATTCAGAGCCATCCTTAAGAAATGGGGCTACAAAGTGGAATCTACAACATGTGAGTGTGGAGAAGAGCAAACCACAGACCACCTGGTGCAATGCAACCTGAGCCCTGCTACATGCACAATGGAGAACCTTCTTATAGTAACAACAGAGGCACTCCAAGTGGCCAGCTACTGGTCAAAGGACATTTAATCAACTACCAAGCTTGCAAACTTTGTGTTTTGTTTGTTTAAAAATGCAATACAACTGTTTGGTTTGCTCCTGACACGATAAATCAATCAATCAATCAATCAATAAATAATAAACCAGTCCCCAGTTTAAATACCATTGTTTTTAACCACAGATTCATTTTCAGAGTCCAGGTCCTAGTACTCAATGAGCATTCACCCATTTCTAGGAGTCAGAACACATTTAGTATACAAGAAGTCAAATTTAGAATACCTCATATAAACCTTGCTTGCACTCTGTCTAGATTTACAGTCAATTTTCACACCATATGGCTGCATCAAATTAGAGTTTAGAAGCTATTTTAGCATGGAAGAGTTTTAGTGCGGGAGGGACATAGTGTCCTCCTTTGGTGTAAGAAAACCTTATTATAGCTGCAGTTTTGTATCAGTCATCCCATCCATCCACAGTGATACCTTTGAATGACAGTCATGGCACTCATTTCTTTCATGGTACGGTGTAACCAGAGGATGCAAAAGCCATTTATACTGTAGTCTTAAAGCTGTTTCTGTTATACAGTATTTACAAGTGGGAGAGTAATGCCATGTTGTTCAAACTTAATCCAAGAATATCCAGTTTCACACTGAAGTACTTAAATTCCCCTGAATGTCTTAATTATGCATTCTGGAATGTGCAAAATATGAATCTTAGTGTGATCCATGATTGGCTCTTATCACACATGCTTTATTTATAATAGTAGAACCACACAAATGGATAGGAAATGAAAACAGGCAAAGTGTCAGCAATGAAATAACTGTCCCAGAACTTAATGTGTTTTGAACACTCCTCTTTCATTGTGAATGGTTTTGTCCAATTGCAGATGCAAGCTTTCTTTTCATAAAGACTAATCAACAAGTTACAGTAAACCATTCTGCAATGCATGTGCTCTGAAATGCAACTTTTCATTTCCTTCAATACAAAAGGAGCTGTAATAACAATTGAGCATGCTCAAAATTTGTCTGATAGTTTTGCCAACCATGTTAGTGCATAAAATCTATATAAATAAAAATGTAATGTTCATTCGTGGGATTAACATAACTCAAAAACCACTGGATGAATTGACACCAAATTTGGACACAATACACATTTGAGGCCAACAAGTGACCATCACTCATAAAAACATTGAAAAACACAGCAGAAGAGACTTAAAAAGCCAAAAAACAAAATATACAATACAACGCATGCGCATAACCACATATACAGAGTGCAGCAGTAGAACTTCCTTTTTTAAAATGCTGGTTGAAGACGGTTGAAGAAGTAGCAGAGCGCTAGTGGTCTCRTTCGAGAGRCGGGAGTATAAAGTTTTGTCCTGACACAGTTCAGTTGCCATCATGCGTTGGAACAGTGCTTTTGCCGGTGYTTTTGCCGGTGAGGCCTACTTTTYAAGSGGATTTGGAGTGGCAAGCCCGCTCTCCAGATTTGGCCCTTGTGATTTTTTTCTATGGGGTTTTTTGAAATCCTGACCRTCCAAGGACCCCACAAGATTTGAAGACCAACATCYAGGAAGAAATTGCCAACATAATGCCTGCTATGCTTACAAGAGTCATGACAAACGCCAGAAATCGGTTTACTCAGTGTATGGAGAATGGAGAATGGGGGACGTCACCTACCTAATTTGATCTTCAAAACTACGTAAAACAAAACTTTAGGTATGCGCCTACATTATTAAAAAAATCTGATTCATACAATGGGTTTTATTAAGTTTTGAAAAAAGGAAGTTATGCTGCTGCACCCTGTATATACGCAAACACACATATACACAAATATATACACACATATATACACACACAACACACATATACACAGACTGGGTCACMGCAACGTGTGGCAGGGGACGGCTAGTACTGGTATAAATAAACTCGACCTCAAACATGGTTGACATTATGAAAATATTAAAGTTTACTGGAACTAAGTCTCAGTCAATTTGAGAATTATGAAACTTCTACTTAAAACAGAGATAGTGAAACTGTTTTTTAAATTATTTCATTTTATGGGGACTTGCAAAGCAGACCTTTTTCTCACTTGTGGTCCGAGCCAATTTGTTGCCAGGAAATGGCATTCCCATAATGACATTGGAGAAGTGCTTCCCTGCAAATCACCATGACAACTCGCAGGTCCTCTTACCTTTGTAAGGCATTTGTGCGCGAGTCTTCAAATACATTTTTGTGGTCCTCTTGCTTCTCACTCTGTTGACTTTGTAGCCTAAATTGTTGCAGCGGTTCTTTCGACAACTCAAACAGAGCCCTCTTTCAAATGCTTCTTTTGAGTTACAGCGGTATGCCATAATTGGCTTTTCTTCATACAAGAGGGAATCAATGAAAAGATGGATGGAACGTTCATGAGAGCATTTCACCAACTGATCGGCATCTTTAAAGAAAAATGAACAAATATTGAATTAATACCTAAGTATAGAGATGTCCAGTTTTAACTGATCAGAGTTCTTTTTTCCTTAAAAGTAAACAGATTATATCATTTGGTTTGTTTTTTTTTAATCATGCTTAGCACCATTGTTTCTCCAAATTGTTAATTCTTCTGGGCTGCTCCTTCTCACCACTACTTGACTAACACTTCCTCATTAACCTTCCTAATTAGGGATCCCACGGTTTCAAGAAGGATGAAGGACTGCTTATCAGGATTGCTTATCAGGACTAGCTACATGATAACAGAAGAGGGTTAAGCAAAGGCAGTGTAAATGAGCACCGAGTTCTGCAGAGACTGCCAAAGAGGTCAAGAATATATTGCCTTGGTTTTAAAAGTATTTTTGCTCTAAAAATCATACCCAAAATGTGGGTTTTTAAATGCAAGCTCTAGTTCAAGGATTCATGAAGGCTAGTTTTCGTGGTCTGTAATTAAAACTACTATCAAAGTTAATAATCAATGCTGTATATTTACTTCTTTGGCATCTTTAGATACCACAGTTCTTTAATTAAAACCTATATCCTATGTCCTCATAATTTATTGTTGGTGAAAATTAGCTAATTCAGGACCGATTGAGTAAAATAGATTGTCAATTACTTGACACTGGCTTGTTAAATGATGTGGGTTAGGCTAATTTGCCGCTGATGTATCAAAATACCCATAGGATGACAAAGAAGCACTCTTAAAGCATAGTAAATCTGGAGATAACTGCATTTTAAACTGTGCTTTTAATTTGATTCTAGTAGCTTTAATCATCCTGTGCTTTAATTGTATTCTTTTGTTAAGTAATACTGTAAGTATTAGGGATGTGTGATCCATTAAAAAATGTTCAAAGGTACTTACAAAACTGGGCGGGCACTAGTGCTTCATTTCTAAAGTGTTTCTAAAGTATGCTAAGTAGTAGTAATTTTATTGATTCGCCCTTAGACCATATCACAATAAGAAACAGAACAACGAGGCCTGACAAGACCCGATCACATAGTAAGTTAAAATAATACACTTATAACAGTACAGTAAATAAATATGATAAGACATGATAAAACTGATAAACTGATCAAGCTGAGTATATACATCATATTTCCTTATCACCTCTACAATTTACCCCAATCATTACTATAACGAGAGTAACAAAACTTCGTTACAGTAATTTCGTTACAGTAATTGCGCATGCACATAATTAAATTACTAAAATTGGGGAAATTTCAGTGGCTCCTTTCTCCCTCATTTTTAAAGCTATTGGAGTGAAAGTTGCTACAATGGTGGAACACATTTACCACTGTTAGCCCACCACGTTTCAGAACATTTCACTTATCCACAGATTTTTAGGAAATTTTCAAAAATTTTATAAACATTTTTTTAAAAAACCTACAAGAACTATCTACTTGAATTTTATGTACACTACACAAGATAACCTGCACATCAATTCCCAGAAGTTTAAAAAAGATTCACATATCTACCAATTTTTGGAGATTTTTAATTTAGACAAAAACAATTTATCCCCTCAAAATGCGACAACAGCAATCCCCTTGACACACAACCACATAACTTCAACTTAGCACAGATTTATACTATTACTTACTTATAGTCCTTTTTGCAGATTCAACAATTTTATTTATTATTATTAGCCTGACTAAACAGCTGGCTGCTGCAGCCCTCACTGGTGCTTTCAGATGCTTAGCATTGCATTCTGGGAAATGTAGTTTAGGGCAAGGCCTTTTGCATTCTCTGACACAGGGGGCCTTACTTTCCCAAACTATGTGTAAGATGGCTGTGTTCTCAGTCTCCTGCCCATTAACTTTAGTCCCGACCACAGTGCCTTCCCTATGGCAATCGGGCCAAAGAAAAAGGATTGTTTTTTAAAGCACTTCATGTTTTCTTCGCTTTACCAAAGTTGCTTAATGCTTATACCGAAAATTAAACTGACCTTGGGAGGCATCCAAATGTTACAGAATCTTAACGAAAATGATTGGTCAGTGTTTCAGTTTTCGAAATCCTCCCCACCTTTCCTGCATGTCTCTTATGTCACTTTGTATGCACAAATTTAACGAATTTAATCCAAAATACGAATTAAAAATGAAATTAAATGAAATAAAAAATTAAAAAATAAATTAAAAAATGAAATTAAAAATGGAATTATGCACATTCCAAGAGAAAAAAGAGTAGGACAAAACAAAATAAATAAATGTATAAATGCTTTATATTTTCATTGTTGTTGGCAATTTGATCTGAAAACCAAATTTTCAGCAAACAGAAAGGTGACAATGCAGGAAGTAGCTAAATAAGACTACTGAATGAATGGATAATCTTATTAGGTATCCAATGCAGAGAAGCAATTTTCAGTAAGGCATTATTTTATAAAACAAATGGACATTTTGTTTTCATTATATTTATGCTTTTATTGCCATTCAGTTGAATGCTTACCCTGAAGCCCTGATTCAGCAATCAGTCGTATCGCCTCTACAAAATTGCAACCTGGTTGAAATCCACCTCCATTAGGGTAGATATCAATATGCCCAACAGGTTTCTGTATCCCAATACTGCGATCAGGTGTCCCCCTTGTATAAGTGTGCAGGACATCTACAAAGACAGCATCATCGGCAGAAAGGCGTACAGATTCCTCAGCATATTCAAAGTGAGGTCCTGCAGGATCTAAACCTATGTAAGAAGGGCAACAGAAGAGAAAGCCAATTCATTGTCTGCATGTGGTTACAGTCAAACACACAGTAATGTTAGCCGGAACTCTTGAAAACACAGCCTATATCTCATTCGTCAAGTTATAGCCAAATTAATGACTCTCAATTGCACCCACTATTTTGCACTGAGTGAGAGATACATCCTAAGAAAAGGTAGGATTAGAGACAAAAATTTCTTCACATGCTTAACTTATTCCCATCAACACCAGTTTAATTAAAATTCCTTTAGTGTTAGCTGTTCTGTGGTCCAAAACAGACAGGGAGGAACATCAGGAAATACTATAAAAAAAATGACATCTAAGCTAGGCTGTTTTAAAAGCTCACTGAATAAGTGGTTCCAAAAATGGTTATCTGCATTCACAACTAGAAAACAATTGCCTTAATCAATCATTTTTTTAAAAAAAACCAAGTGGGTACAATGACCAAGGAAAAAGGTTCAGAAAAAAACATGTCATTACAGCCAACCCAGAAAGCGATTATGAAAATGTTACACAAAGACTTTAAAATCTTTCTGAAATGTCAAGTAGCTTACAGTTTTAGAAGATTTGGTTTCTGTCTCGTGTACATGAATTGCCTAATTGTTTTCTGAAGGCTGCTTATTACTAACACACTATTAAATAACTCAAGTAAGTACCCATCTGAAAGGCCAAGAACTTATTAACAGATCCTTCTTTTAGAAGAATGTACTCCACAATTCCCACTCAAAACAATGGCTACACAGAAAGATGGTATTTTCTTGTTTTAAGAAAAATTAGTAGGCCATTCTTCACTTCACAATGGCCTAGATCCAATTATTAGTTCCAATAATAGTAATATAATAAAAAGGTTTATTTATATCCCGTTCCCTCTCCCCAGGGCACTCAGGGCAGCTTACAACAAAATACAATAGGTGCAATACAATAAAATACATAGACATACTCTACTCTGTACATGCCCAGTGTTTTAAAATTTTAATCTATTACATTCATAGTGTCTTAAATCTCTTGTGTGTTATTATTTAATGTTGTTGTTCATTCGTTCAGTCGCTTCTGACTCTTCGTGACCTCATGGACCAGCCCACGCCAGAGCTCCCTATCGGCCGTCACCACCCCCAGCTCCTTCAAGGTAAGCCAGTCACTTCAAGGATGCCATCCATCTATCTTGCCCTTGGTCGGCCCCTCTTCCTTTTTCCTTCCATTTTCCCCAGCATCATTGTCTTCTCTAAGCTTTCCTGTCTCCTCATGATGTGGCCAAAGTACTTCATCTTTGCCTCTACTATCCTTCCCTCCAATGAGCAGTCGGGCTTTATTTCTTGAAGTATGGACTGGTTGGATCTTCTCGCTGTCCAAGGCACTCTCAGAACTTTCCTCCAACACCACAGTTCAAAAGCATCTATGTTTAGTTATATTTTATATATTGTTTTATTTGCTTGTTTGCTTTGTTGATGTATTGTTGTATTTGTATTTGACAAGCTTGGTCTCATGTAAACTGCCCTGAGTCCCTTCGGGGAGATGGTGACGAGGTATAAATACATTTGTTGTTGTTATTATTATTATTATTATTATTATTATTATTATTATTATTTGGAATAAACAATTAATAACACATCCAAATATCAAACACAAAATACAGCACGATCAAGTAACAAAAATTAACAATAAGATTATGAACATTAGATTAACTGGAGTAAACTCACTAAGTCAGTTGAATTCTCCATTGAATACACAGAACTACTCTAATGGGGAGGAATATTTGCATTTAGAACAATATCTGCATGATTTGAATGTGGTATCTGAATGATAATGGTCCTTAAATGTGAAAATAAACTATTTTAATACTACTGTCCTCCCAACTTTATCAATATAGTGTACTATTTATTATTTATTTATTTGCAGTATTTATATATATTGTATTGTCGAAGGCTTTCATGGCTGGAATCACTCAGTTCTTGTAGGTTTTTTCGGGCTATATGGCCATGTTCTAGAGGCATTTCTCCTGACGTTTCGCCTGCATCTATGGCAAGCTTCCTCAGAGGTGAGGACCTCACCTCTGAGGAAGCTTGCCATAGATGCAGGCGAAATGTCAGGAGAAATGCCTCTAGAACATGGCCATATAGCCCGAAAAAACCCACAAGAACTGAGTTTATATATATTGCTTTTCTCACCCCTAGGGGGACTCAAAGCAGTTTACATATAGATAATGGCACATATTAAAAACAGTACATCACCAATCATCAAAATAGTCATTAAAACCACAAAACAATCTCATCAGTCAAGTTGCCATTCAAGTCCTTGTCCCTCTAAAAAGCTGCATACATCTATTGTCCGAAGGCCTGGTCCCAGAACCATGACTTTCATTTTTTCTAAAAGTCAGGAGAGAGGGGATCTTACCTCCTTTGGGAGTGTGTTCCATAGGCGGGGGGCCACAGCTGAGAAGGCCCTGCTCCTCGTCCCCACCAGCCACATTTGTGCTGTTGACGGGAGCGAGAGCAGGACCTCTCTGGATGATCTTAAATTGCGAGGTGGGACGTAGGGGCAGATGCATTCGGACAAGCTGGGCCAGAACCATATAGAGCTTATATGTTTAGTTATACTAGTATTCCACATTATAACATTGCGATCATTTAAGGAATCTTAGAATTACACCTTGTGTTTCTTGACTGAATGCCAGGATTTGCTTACCAGTGATTCTATTAATCTTTTTGTCAGTCAGACTTCCAGCAATACCAGCAGCATGGGCACCAAGACTGTATCCCAGCAAGTGGACTTTGTCCAAGGAATAACCGAACTGCTCCTAGGAATGACAATTTTAACAGATATTTCTATTAAAGTACTTCCTGACTTCTAAATAACAGATGAAGAAATGCAGCAAGTGTTTAATAAAGCTGTCACTACAGAACACAAATGCTATCAGAAGAGCAGGAAACCTGCCACAGTTCCACTCAACCGCAAGACAGTGTGCAGTAGGACTTTTGGTTTTACAAGAGGATGTCATTTTCTTATATAAAAACAAATTAATTTGGCATGACCCACTGAAATCAGCAACATATACATCCCAGTATCTCGCATCTTTATAGCAGGCCATGCCACATATGTTTTGGTCAGTTGCTTAAATGTTTGGGGGCCCTTCCACACCGCCCTGTATCCCAGAATATCAAGGCAGGAAATCCCACAATATCTGCTTTGAACTGGATTACCTGAGTCTGCATTCACATATGTGGGAATTTCTGCCTTGATATTCTGGGATATAGGGCTGTGTGGAAGGGTCCTTGGTCTGCAGAAAGCAGTGCCAAGTGAACTTTGGTGGCCTTTAAATCCCACATTATCTGTGTGTGGACTCAGATAACCCAGTTCAAAGCAGATATTGTGGATTTTTCTGCCTTGATATTCTGTGATATAGGGCTGTGTGGAAGGGCCCTGGGGGATGAGGTTTGGGGAAAATTGTGGGATGAGGTCTTAGGTTATCCCACCATTCTTGGAGGGCTCCAGGAATAGATTGAGGCTTTAGAAGCTAACTACTTCCATTTAAAAAAAGTTTTGGAACTTGGAAAAGGTTTCTGAGATTGAAAAAAGCAATATGCAATCCATGGGTCACACAATTCCCACCCTGTCTTAGAAGAGCTATGGTTTTCACAGGCAAATCCAGAGGAAGTAAAGTATACTGGCTTAGTTATAGATCTAAGTTCTAGCTTCTTAAACTGTGGGTCCCTACCCCAAATATTATTATATTTATTTATATTTAAATAGGGTCTTAACTCAATGTCGGGGTCCCCAAAAATTTGGCAACAGTAAGTTTTCAGTGGCTATTTTAGACATTTACATGAATCAGTTGTGCAGTGTTCTGTGTACAGTAGACTCTGCAAAAGATGCCTCAGCTGTATTCCACAGAAAGGAAAATCAGCCTGTTTAGCAAGCCTTGAAATTGCTGATTTGTTATCAGCAAATGTTTAATTTTTATACCTATTTTATATACCTATGTCCCCAGGTAGAGACATCTTTCAGGCCAAAATGAGTCATGAGTGGAAAAATATAAGAAGCCCTATGCTAAAGGACACCCAATAAATCAACTACTGAATGGTGCATTTAATGACTGTTATTATGTAAGTTTCCAGGAGTTACTAAGTATATTTTAACAGGAAATAGCAACTGGATTTAAGATATAATGTCAATCTGGATTTTGTGAGTGCTTGATTAGGGATAAGACATTCCCCAGAGCAGAGTCCATCTGGAACCCAAGAAAAGAGAGACATTGGAGTGATATCACCCATTACCAACCATATCCACAATCTTCAAATTTGGTCCTTAAAAGAACATCCCTATTTCAGAAAGGGTTTCAGTGACAGGTAAGCATATTTCCCCATTGTCAGCCTTTGTCCAGTTAAGACTAATTTGTTGTATTTGTAACTCAAGCATCCAAATATGTTTACTTTTGGTAAAAACAAGTTTTGCATAATCATAACATTTTATAGTTTCTATGACTCATACTGCACTATGATTTGCACTTCTATAAAGGTCAGTAATACAATAATTGTTGGAGTACTTTATATTTGTAGCTGGACTTTAAATTGTTTGGATCTTTCTCTGTCTTAAAATATCCCCTATGTAAAGAGAATTAGTAATTTTAGAAAAGATCACAATAGGTTTTTCTTCCAATGTGCTTGGATGTAACATGTATAGTTTGTTCCCTAAGAGAAAGCAGTTAAATTAATGATCCTCCCTGCAGCCCTACATGATATAGTTCAACAAGACTTGCATCAAGGGATAGCACTCATTCCATAATAATGCTTTGAGATGCACAAGTTGGTTGTGTTTAGCATGTTCTACTTATTTAACCCCTCCTCCAAATGTGTTAGAAGTAGCAACCTTCTCAATCCTCCACTAGTTATTTGTTATGCATATAATTCAGATTGCTTACTGTATTGTATATGTGTGTCTTTGTGTGCAGTTTTCCTTAACTTTTTGTTGTGGGAGGGGCTGCAGACCATGTGATCAGAACTGGGCTTGCTCAGGACTCAGACTCCATTTTAGAAATAGTATGTCTTTAAAAAGACTGTAGGACATGTATGCATTCAGATGCCAGCAGAATGGTATGCTTTAGAGCAGGGGTCCTCAAACTTTTTAAACAGAGGGCCAGGTCACAGTCTCTCAAACTGTTGGGGGGGGGGGCAGATTATAATTTGAAAAAAAATGGATGAATTCCTATTAATACTGTACATATCTTATTTGTAGTGCAAAAACACTTTAAAAATACAATAATTAAAATGAAGAACAATCTTAACAAATATAAACTTATTAGTATTTCAGTGAGAAGTGTGGGTCTGCTTTTGGCTGATGAGATAGGATTGTTGTTGTTGTTGTTGTTGTTGTTGTTATTGTTGTGTGCTTTCAAGTCATTTCAGACTTAGGTTGACCCTGAGTGAGGGCCGGGTAAATGACCTTGGAGGGCCATATCTGGCCCTCGGGCCTTAGTTTGAGGACCCCCTGCTTTAAGGACTTCAGTTGGAACAGATGTATGCTTAGAGGAAACTGTATGTTTTACACTTAGAGACTCCATTGGACTTTTAGACTAGACAGAGACTCTATTAGACTCTCAGAACAGAGAGATATTTAAGATTATGGACTGTTGATTATGAGAAAGATGCCCTGTGTTAACTACACAAAAAATTACTTCAAATCTACTTGTAACTGGATTGATATGCAAAGTACCTGTATGCTGAATACATGAAGTTTGTCAGTAAACCAATATATTACTTTTAACATATGTCTTGAGAGCATGATTTAAAGGCAAATACATTTTAAGGGAGAGTAGATGTTTTGGGGCAACTAAAAGGAACACTTCTGAAACTCTGCTATGTATGTGTGTGTGTGTGTGTTTCATGCGCTGGCATATTTTGTCCCTAACAGTTCAAAGACATGCCTAGGTACATCAGTTTAACAGCCAAGAAACCTAGTTGCCTTGTATGAATGCTGGTGAATACCAAATTATCAAAAAGTTTATGGCACCATTTTCAAAAGGTTATGACTTCTAACAAGGTCATGCCTTTCCAAAAATCATAAAATCTCCAAAAGGTTATGGAGATTTCCATTTTCCAAAAATATGTGTGCTGTCTCAGAACCAAATATGACTCACCTCCATCCAATTAACAAATGTGGCAACATCTTTTCCCACCATCTTTGTGTAGGCAGCAGATACAGGATAATGTAAACTGGCCAAAGCCAACCAATCAACCACAATTACATTTGAGTATGGTTCCCTTGTGTACAGTGCCTTTACTAGCTTTGGGACCCAGCTCTCATACATGCCAGTCACCTGGAAGGTAAGAAAACAAGAAGCTTCAATATACAGTAGGAACCCAAATTAGCAGGTGGTGTGGTTGTGACACCATTAATATCATTTTTAAAGATTTTCAGAGCTGATCATGAAGGTTGATGATACTTTATTGGCTGATTGTGTCATAGCAGTAAATATGGCTAACTTTCCACAAATGCGTAGAGGGCAGGCTATTCAGTGACAAAGAAATTCGCTGTCCTAAATTGTGATAGTAGTTTAGATAGCTTTTAAACACCAGGAGTAAAAAGGGACCTTTCATGCTATACAGTTACAATACTATGATACCACACAAACTGGTATGAGAACAAGCCATGCAATTCTTGTCAGAGATATGATGAAACAGTGTAGTGTGTTTTTGCCATTCCTAAACAGAAGTTCCTAAATGGGTAACAGTTGCTAGAAAAAATGTACATTGTAAGAGCCAAAAGACTTTTAATAACACCAAACAGACACAAAGGACAACAAAGTCCACTCAGAAATAAAGCAACTCTTATAAAGCAGTAATAAAGTGGCATAACTTTTTAGTATTATGTAACAAGTTAACCACTGGGCCTCTAATTCAATTCAACCAAGTCTGGGAATTCCAACTAAGAATTGGAGACGTGCCCAAGCCCTCTTACCGTCCATCCATGTATCACCACAAAGGTTTTGCTTGTATAGTTGAAGCTGCATTGCGCTACACTTGCTTCCTCCCCAGGAACAATGAGACAAGTGTCCTCATCAGTCTTCTCAGGTGTCCTTAGAGAAAATTTGCTCTTAATATCACTGAAGTCTCTCTTTTTTTCTGTAATGTCTCCTGGAACAAAAACAGAATCATAAGAAATAATTTTAAAACAAGGTGCATCAGAAAATCATGTTGCCACTCTTGACTGTATACACAGAATAGTTGATCCTATTAGGAGAATAGGAGCCCCCGGTGGTGCAATGGGTTAAACCCTTGTGCTGGCAGGACTGAAGGCCAACAGGTCACAGGTTTAAATCTGGGGACAGCATGGATGAGCTCCCTCTGTCAGCTCCAGCTTCCCATGCGGGAACATGAGAGAAGCCTCCCACAAGGATGGTGAAACATCTGGGCGTCCCCTGGGCAACATCCTTGCAGATGACCAATTCTCTCACACCAGAAGCAACTTGCAGTTTCTCAAGTCGCTCCTGACATGGAAAAAAAACTTGGCCCTAGTTCTGTTTCAGGACTTTTTTCAATGTCGAACAGGTCATTTCTCCCCACCACTGCTTGAACTGATGGGAAATACCATATTCACAACTACCTCTTCTTCAGCACATATTTCTGAAGTGGCAACTAAGGGGACCAAACAATAATTGCTTCCTAATGTGCAAGTGTAAAGGAGCTAAATACATAAACCATTTGGGGGTAGCAACAGAGCATAAAAATATTATAAATATATACAGTACACACCGTAAACATATAGCACATTATGAATAGTTTCTTTCTGCCTTAATTCGTCCTTGGAAATTGACCCACACCGGTGAGTTTCCCACTTACATTTTACACACTTCATTAGTCTTGTGTGACTAATTCTTTTCCAGGTTACAAATGCTTCTCTGGTTGTGTACAGAAGCATGCCTATTTGTAAATCTGCCATTGCTATATATTTTAGTTGAACCAAAAGCTGCCTCCATCTCACTCTTGTACAAAACTGTAAGCAATCTGTTTTCCCAATGGAGATTCACAACAGAAAGCAGTGTTAATAACTATTTTCCTTAATACAAGATTTATTTATTTTTCAAAATCCAGGTTCTGGAGGAGTCTTAAGAAAATCCCGCAGACCTGCCACACAGATAAAGAAAATACAACATGCTAAGTAATGGTTTCAATTACAGAGGATATTAGTTCTCCAATGGAAGGAGTACACAAGTTGAACATGGACAACAAGTTAAACATGAGCCAACAATGTGATGTGGCGGCAAAAAAAGCCAATGGGATTTTGGCCTGCATCAATAGGAGCATAGTGTCTAGATCTAGTGAAGCAATGCTACCCCTCTATTCTGCTTTGGTTAGACCACACCTGGAATATTGTGTCCAATTCTGGGCACCACAATTCAAGAGAGATATTGACAAGCTGGAATGTGTCCAGAGGAGGGCAACTAAAATGATCAAGGGCATGGAGAACAAGCCCTATGAGGAGCAGTTTAAGGAGCTGGGCATGTTTAGCCTGAAGAGAAGGCTGAGAGGAGATATGATAGCCATGTATAAATATGTGAGAGGAAGCCACAGGGAGGAGGGAGCAAGCTTGTTTTCTGCTTCCCTGGAGTCTAGGACACAGAACAATGGCTTCAAACTACAAGAAAGGTGATTCCATCTGAACATGAGGGAGAACTTCCTGACTGTGAGAGCCGTTCAGCAGTGGAACTCTCTGCACCGGAGTGTGGTGGAGGCTCCTTCTTTGGAAGCTTTTAAACAGAGGCTGGATGGCCATTTGTCAGGGGTGATTTGAATGCAATATTCCTGCTTCTTGGCAGGGGGTTGGACTGGATGGCCCATGAGGTCTCTTCCAACTCTTTGATTCTATGAGTAATGTCATAGTAGAAGCTTGGGACATTTTCCTGCATATGAATAGCTACATATGCTCATTCCGAGTGAAAATAACCAAAGATCATAAATTGGTTTTAAAAAGCACACACATATTTCATGTGTTTTCTAGAGCACTGAGGCCATAACTCCATCATGGACTAGATGCAAGGTGCACGCAGGATCTCAAAATCAATTCCCTGACTTCATCACTTCATTGTGAGATGCACATATGTATTCTTCTGTCTCTGTTTTACAGCTCCCAATTAAAATATCATCAGGAAATAAAACTAGTGTTTATCTCCTCCATCCCCCCCATCCCACCAACATTGCAAAGCTTAGTTTTGGGGTGAAAAACAAAACTGGAAATGGCATGACATCATTTTCAGTCATTGTGCAGGCTGTGGTCACGACCTGATTTACAGTGATCTCTGGAAACAAAGCTGACAAAAGATGTTTGCCCAACCCCATCTTGGGAATGTCTGTCAATTGAAGTACACAGTGCTTAGGCTAGAATGAATCAAAAGTTTGGTTGGGTAAAACACACCTTCCTATACTCATTACATATTCATTTTTTCAAAGTACTGATCATAAGTGACAGTCAAAAAGGGCTAGTTTCGCCCATGCATGTTTCTATAGAGAGGCTATCACATACCACTAAGTTCTAGTTGACAGTACCATATAGTATGACATCTATCTCTTATATCTCTGCCCAAGTCAAATGAAGCTGTTTCAGTACAAATATGTGGGGTTTTTTTCATGTCAGGAACGACTTGAGAAACTGCAAGTCGCTTCTGGTGTGAGATAATCAGTCATCTGCAAGGACATGGCCCAGAGGACGCCCGGATGTTTCACCATCCTATGGGAGGCTTCTCTCATGTCCCCATATGAGAAGCTGGGGCTGACAGATGGGAGCTCACCCTGCTTCCCGGATTTGGGAACTCACCCTGCTCCCCAAAATGTCAGCAGTCCTGCCAGCACAAGATTTTAACCCTGGGTATGTGGTGTCTGTGATGAACTGCAAGAGAGTGAACAAACTGAAGCTTAATCCAGGTAAGACTGATATGATCCTCATGAGTCAAAAAGCAGATCAGGGAAAAGGGATTAATTCTGTGCTGGATGGGGGTAACACTCCCCTGAAGTCTAGTGTTTGTAGCTTGGGGTAAGCTTTGACCCTGGAGGCCCCAATTCCAAAGGCAAACAGGAATCCATTTGCAATACTTAAATCTCGTAAGCCCACCAGGCCTATTCCTAGAGATGTCAGATCCAGCCACACAAACACATGTCTTGATAATATTATGTTATATTTACTACAACACACTCCACATAGGGCTCCCTTTGGAAACTTGAGTGGGTTCAAATGCTGCTGCCAGGTGCCAAGCAAGGTTGGTGGACATGTAACTATTTTTGTAACAGCTTTACTAGCTACCTATCTGTTTCTGGGTACAATGGAAAGTGCTCTATATGACCCAAAAAGTGCTGGGTTCAAACTATGTGAAGCACCATATGTCTTTAGATGAAAACATGCTAGGACTTTGCAGTACACATAGGAATCACCCACTACTGGCATATTTGATGAAGACATGGTAAAGGGCCTTCTCAATAGCTCCTTCTTTGCTTTTTCTGAAAATCACAAAAAGCAATTTGTGTTTAGACAGGCCTTTGATAGTTAATTGGCCATTACAGAGCTTATTAAGCTAGTGTGTAGTATCTTGTTATTGTGTATTAAATAGGGTTGTTGTAGGTTTTGTGGGCTATATGGCCATGTTCTAGAAGCATTCTCTCCTGATGTTTCACCTGCATCTATGGCAAGCATCCTCAGAGATTGTGAGATCCTCACAACATCTGATGCTTGCCATAGATGCAGATGAAACGTCAGGAGCGAATGCTTCTAGAACATGGCCATATAGCCCAAAAAACCTACAACAACCCAGCAATTCCAGCCATGAAAGCCTTCGACAATACAGTGTATTAAATACTTTAAAATTGTTTAAAATTGTTTTTAATTTGCCCTTTTAACTTTTTGTACTTGATATTGTTTTGCTTTATCTTGTTTTAGGCAAGGCCTGTAGGATACCTCAGGTCAAACTAAAAGAAAGGTGAGATAGAAATGAGAAGCCCACCTTCAAAATGAAGATCAATGAAGTGCCCATCATGCCATTATGTGTACAAAATGGGCTGAGATATTTCAGATCTGCCAAGTTACTGCAAATCCACATAAAGGCTCCTGACAACAAAATATACTGTATAATTTAATTTCAGGCCCAGTTCTTTGCTGAACAGAAAAAAAACCCCTTAATTCTGTGGTTGTGAGTACTGTGAGTAATTCTGCAATCACTTGGTCTACTTCCATCTACCAAATATTTATCCACCTTTTCACAACACTGAAAAGGTCAACACAGCTGCATTGTTTACCCAACGGCGTACACAATGTTCTCAGAATAAATGAACAGCTACACACAAACAGCACAGAAAATCAAAAGTCCAGAACTTGCATACAATAAGAGATGGGACTTTTAGTTGGAGTAAGTCTGAGAATTATAATAAAAGGGAAAAAAAAGTATAACACACATATTACCTTTAATACCACCCTTCTATTCAATGTACCGGAGACTGACTTCATACATATAAACATAAAATATGTATTACAGCAATAGATTTGCACATTCTGATTTTCCCCAAATACGTCATAATTGAATCAGGTTGACAAATCAATCCAGTGTATCCATACATTTAAGGCATTACGCTTTTGCTAAAGATGTGCCAATAATTTTAAGGAGAGTGTTCCCATTGAAAAATGAAGTATGGTTATATCTGGAAAGTAAGTCCAGCGAATCCTCCTGTTAGAGATAGTATGTTTTATTGATTAGCCCATCAGCCACATCAAAATACTCCCCAGTAAAAGGTGAAACTTTGCGTCTGACTTCTACAGAATGGTACCACAAGGATTAGTGTTTAGATCCATGCTACCCCTCTATTCTGGCTTGGTTAGACCACACCTGGAATATTGTGTCCAATTCTGGGCACCACAATTGAAGGGAGATGTTGATAAGCTGGAATGTGTCCAGAAGAGAGCAACTAAAATGATCAAGAGTCTGAAGAACAAGCCCTATGAGGAGCGGCTTAAAGAGCTGGGCATGTTTAGCCTGAAGAAGAGAAGGCTGGGAGGAGACATGATAGCCATGTATAAGTATGTGAGAGAAAGTCATAGGGAAGAGGGTGCAAGCTTGTTTTCTGCTGCCCTGGAGACTAGGACGCGGAACAATGGC